TAGAGATTATCAATGACTAATTTCTTTCAACACTTTGACAGAAATGGTTTGGAGAAGAGAGCTGAACTATGAGATGATCAATCTAGGCAAGTCAGGAAAGACATTCCACATATCCAGGGTAGGAAGGAAAACAAATAAAATATAGAGTTGAAAACTCAGATAAATTGGAAAACAAATCAGTGCCAGTGAACAGCAATGTGAAAAGGGGCACAATGGATAAAGAGAAAAAGCAGATATATGAAGGGCAATATGGGCAGTATCAAGAAGCTTGAACAGTTTAGCAAAGAGGAGAAACCACTAAGAATGTAAAGGACAGGCACTATAACATGGTCTGATCAACAGCTTATCTTGGGAGCTATATCTTCTACAGAGCTTATAGAATTTCATGAGTATCAGGAAAGTCTAATTTAATAAATAAGACAGGTAAAAGCCTATCATAATAAACACAGGAGAACAAGACCATCAAGAACCTTTGGTATCTAAAAAAAAGAAAATTAGTTATTATACACATTGTTGTTCTCCTATGACACTAACTTAATATGAGAGAGAAGACTCGAAGATAACGCCGAAGCTGAGAATCCAAGCAACAGGAAAAAGTGTCAGTGACAGAAGGCGGCCAGGTCTGGAAGGAAGTGGAATGACTTTAGAATTAAAAAGGAGTTTTGTTCAAGGTGGTGGTGGAAAGCAAGGGAAGAAATATTGACAAGATGAAAGAAAATGAATAGAGGGGATTGCATAGAGGGAAATGGTTGGGAATCAAAAATAAACCAGTGGTGCTTAATCTTTTGGCTCCATGGGCCAGACGAGTGCCATGCTGCCCATCTGCGGGCCAGATCAGACCCTGGGGCCCAGTACTGTCTCTCTTCTCTGCATGATGGGATTTGGGCCCTGGGGAGCTCGTGCTGTCTCCTCCCACCCTTGAGCACTGGGATTGGGTCCCAGGAGCCTTGCACTGTCCCCTCCCAGGCCCCAGCACATAAGGATTTGGTCAGAGGGGCCCGGCACCACTCCCTACACACTGGCACTGGGTCCCAGGGTCCCAGTTTTGGCACTTCCCATCCTCTATGTCCTGGGATGGGGTCCCGAGGTCTGGCACTGCCCTCTCCAGGCCTCCGACACTGAGATTGGGCCCTGGATCCTGGCACTGCTTCCACACAGCCCTGTGAGCAGGGATCAGGCTCTGGATCTAGTACACAGGGTCTGGTGATTTGGAAGTAGGGAAGTGGTGGTGCTAACCCCTCCACCAACAAATTTCTGGACCCGTTTGGAGCCCTGCAGGCCAGATAACATGTTGTTGTGGGCTAGATCTGGTCTGTGGGATGGGCACCCCTGAATTAAACCATGACAATGAGGTTACCCCAAAACAAGAAAAAAAAGGGGTCCTCTGTGAGATTCCCTGGAAAGAGGGAGTAGAAGAGGAAAGAGATCAGCCAAGAAAGAACCTTTAAAAACTTGGTGGAAAATGTTCAAAACTATGAAAGAAGTGTATCCAAAGATTGTGATGTGTAATGTAGCCTATGTTCCTTACTGAAGAAGTTTGACTGAATAGAGGACCCTGCACTCACAGGAAGATTGCAGGTCTTCCACAGCACCCAACTTTTTCTGTATGGTACAATGACAACTGCACAACTGAGAGTGTTGAATATAAACAGATGATGACATAGGCCCTAGCTTTAAATGCTTTCACCACATTAGCCTTGTCATCAGGGACAAAAAAAGAAAAAATAATGACTCTGTCCTGTTTATCTTCTGGTTGCATGCCCAGAATTTGTTGCAGACAATATGTTTGGACATGTAAACTCCTGAGGCAGCCTATATGAAAAAAAAAAAAAGTGAGAACAGGAGACTATAGTGAAGTGGTAGCACCACCAGCAGCATTTCAAGGACAGCTGTTATTCAAAAGATGTGCAGACCATGGGTGCTGGCTAATCTGAGATGCTGAAATGAAGTATCTTCATATCTGCTGATTTTTTGTAATGAGCTTTTGACAAGCTTCATGAGAGATGTGTAATTCACATGATGTGTGAGACAAGAAGAAAGTGGAGGTATTAGTGTAAGTTGGCAGACAGTGCCCTGTTCACTCACTCAGTATGAACAGCATAAATTCTAGCAACACTAGCAGAGCAGACTATGGAGAAAAGTATAGTATGGTTTTAGACATGATATCTCTGCAGTGCTATATACGCTCTTATACTGCTATAAAAGCTAGCACACTCAGGATAACTGTAACACCACAAAGATGACAGATCCATTACAAAAAAGTTCCTGTTTCATTTTGTAACACAACAACATGTAGCATATGGATCATTTCATATAGTATTACAGGGCTTTTTGATGCACCCCCCACATACCACAATGCTCTACTCTTCCACCACCCCTCCATACATCCTCCAGGGAGATGAAGAGAAAGCAGCTTTTTTCCCCAAGAGCCCCTGGTGAGCGGAGCTGTAGCTCTGCTTACTGAAGCTGATGTTTATAGAGGCATTGCTGCACTGGGGGAGCAGTAGCTCTGCTGGATAAACCTGCTACTTCAGCCACTGGCTAAAGAAGTATTTAGTGTACCAACATATGCAGGAAATTAACAGAGGCAGATATTACCATTTAAGTCTAATTATTTTTCCTCCACTTGGAATTCAAGATTAAATGTAGTCCAAAACACTTTTCAACAGTGATATAGCATGATATGATATCCTCCTACACAGATGTATTAAAACAATGCTGAAGAGGTATTTAGAAAGATAATGCCATATTTACTCACATCCCAGACAAGGTTCCCCTCTCCCAAACCTCAGCCAGCATGGGGAAACAAAGCCTTGTCTTAGATTTGAGTACTGGCCCAGGACGAGCGGCAGCAGCGAGGAGCAGAGATCTGGACCCTCTTGGTCCCTGCTTTATCCACCAACAGGGTGAGGACAGGGAGAGGGAACAAATTTAAGATGATCCTCCAATAATTAAATTCTATATACAAAACATTATAACAAATGTCTAGTTTTTCATGTATAGAAACTAATTGTTAGAGGGTTGCCTTAAATTTGAAGTCACCTCATGTTCAGGTAAAAACCATAATAAAAACTGGGAATTAGAAAAAAATCAAAATACTTACTTTACATATAAGTCCAAATGTCTGGGGAAATCAATTTTGCCAGCAAGAATCTTCTGATATATGCCAAATGGGTTGTCATCAAAAAATGGTGGAAACCTATTTGAATAAAACATATCAAAACCATAGTCTTCTTTTTATTTAGGGGGAAAAATATATATATAATGGTATTATATCAAAGCAAGCTCTCTCTCCACAAAATTGTGAAATGTATAATTTATTTTCTTTGTACTCATGCACCATAGAGCAAAGTCAACTACCAAGTTGTGGTAGCTATTTTGCAAAGTGGACTTTGTGTATGCTGCGTGTTCAAAACATGCTATAAAACTGAAATTTAAAGAGGACTATTTAATTGTATTAATAAATGTTAAGAAGGGAATTTACAAAATTGAATGGGTAGAAGGAAATACAGAGGCCTGGACGAGGGGTGGCTACATAGTACGGGGTGGGAGGGACATGGCACAGCTCAGTTACATAGTAAGGGTATGGCCTACTTAGCCCAGAGCTGGGTTGGATTGGCGGGGTAGGGGAGTTAGGGGCACAATGCTTAGGAGAGAGGATCTATAAATGCCCCGCTCAAGGAAGTCACATTGTTACAAAGTGGTAAGATCTGAAAAGTAAGATCAAGTACAATACCTTACCGGTTATTGTTTGTTGCAGAGCAGGGAGCAAGAAAGGAGTGGGGAAGAAGGGAAGAGGGCAGGGTCAAAGGGAAGCAAGACAGTGCCCCTGAAGGCAGCAAGGCAGGCAGGAGGAAGGAGGGAGGCACAGAGGGTTGGGAGATGAATACCTAGTACAGAGAAAGCAGCAAGGGAGCTGCAAGGATCCTAATCCTTCTGGCATTGCAGCCCTGGTCCCTTTCCTGTCATCCACTGGAGATGTGCACATACCCAACGCTGGCAACGAGTCAAGCCAAGGCTCCGTGGACCCTAGTGCAGACACTTGCAGCCTCCCTGCTGCCTGCCACGGGCAACCCAAGCTCCAGGCAAGCCCTGCCACCCACCAGAGCCCAGGCTGCTTGTAGCAGGAAGTAAGGAGCTGAACTGGGGTCCATGGAGCACTGGCCCCACTCATTGAAGCTGGTGGGTATACGTGCGCCTTGGAGCAGATGGCAAGGAAGGGACAGGGCAAAATGCCACATGATGGATTGGGCCCTTCACGGCTTCACCACCATCTGCCCTGAGGTGCACGTGCACCCGCCACAGGCAAAAAGCCAGGCTGGGGCTCCATGGATCCCAGCCTGGCTGTCAGTGGCAGTTGGGGCTTTCCCAGCCCCCTGCTGCCACCACTAAGTGGCTGCCCAGGAGCCAACTGCAGGCAGATGCAATGAGTCCCCACCACAGCCACATAAAGCCACAGGCGGCAGCAGCAAACAAGGTGCTTTCCCAGCCCACTGCTGCTGCCTGGAGAACAAGGGACAACATGAGGGGAATTTAATGAATCGGTATTTACATCCCTAGTCCTGAGCATTTTGTTGAGTGGGAAATCTGGGTTCAAAACCACTACGTATGAGGGAGCCACTAAAATATTGGCTAAAAGCTAACAGACCACCCTTCTTTCTCCTTCTAGGTCAAGCACATGTTTCAGCCTAAGGCTATGTATCCAAATGCAGCTGGCAATTTGCCTAAGTGGCAAAAAATCTCTTGAACAGCTACACTTGGACACACAGCCTTAGGTGAAAACATATTTTTGAGCTAGCATCTTAATAGTTGTATGACTCCTACATGGAGTAAGATAGGAGCTCAGTTTTTGATTTACATGACTAAAATCCATGTAAGCAACATTTAGGCGTGCACTTACTTAATGAGTGGTGCAATGGGATCTGCACTCTAATCCCAAGAACCACATCTCCCGCTATGCTTCACGTACATAACAGCATGCACAATTTTGGGACAGGGGAACAGATCACAATTATGTCATTACTACTTACAACATTTCCAGGCTCCCTCCACAGTGGCATTTGGATCCCCCTGCACTGACAAGCAGAAAGCTGCTGAGTGCCCAGTGCCACACTGAAGCGAGTTTGATACCTCTGATGCAGTTCCGGGCCCAGGACTAAAAATCAGCTGATTGTGGGCCCAGCCTTGGAACCCTGCTAAGGCTAGTCTCAGAGCCCAACCTCATAGCTGGCATCAGGCTGCATACCAAAGATCCTGCCACATGTTCAGTTTAAAGCTAATAGAAACAGCTACAAAATTATTACACATATTTTGTGGAATAATTTGCTAGCATTATAACTGGTTTATGTGCCATTAGTTGCTGGGTTACTATTTAAGATATGATTAACTGGTTCATCTCATAAACATAACATCTGCTAGAGCCCTTAGACATCTTAGGGATAGAACAGAACCTCAGCCTATAACTGTGCACTATGAAGCCATCAGGTAAAGAAAGCAATATATGAGTTTCCGTTTTCTTCTCAACGTGAAGAGACTATATTTTTCACACCACCAAAAAAAAGGTTAAACAAGAGATTCATTTTTACAACGGAGGAAAAAAAAAAACACATGCCTAAACCATGCTCTCTCTTCTAGTGAAGTTAAGATTTAGGACTTCAGCCAGGAAAATGGGAGGGAGTGGAAGGAGACAAATTTTATCAAGATTGCACTTCCTGAGTTCAGGGGCATTCAACTTCTGGTCCACAGGACAAATGAAGCCCACAGCGCCTTGGAATCTGGCCATGGGGCTCCGCACAGGTTGGGAAATGTGGCTGGGGCATACCCCCTCACCCAGCAGGGCCGGATTGGGACCAGACCACATCAGGCCAAGCTGATCCCCTCTCTCTTCCCCATGGCCAGATGGGGCTCCCACAGGATCTGGCCCATGAAGAGATTGGGACCAGCCCATCTGGCCTGTGATCCAAAAAGGTTGAGCATCACTGCCTTATCTTATTCTCATTACTAAACTAAGAAATACCTTGCTAAAATCCAGGTATATAACAGCCATTGCTCTTCTGCCATTCACTAAACTTGCAACAACAAAATCAGTTTTAGACTGTTTTCCCAGGAAGAAGGCAAATGAGAATACAACTGCCTTTTCCCCAGTATGTCCACAGTAAGCGTGTTATGTTTCTATATCTGGACACAGGAAGTTAGCTCAGAACAGTGCCTAGGATCCAAGCCAAGACATTTTGGCCCCCTCCCACGAAAGATCACTGACTGCTGACACAACACATTCCAGGGAAGTTCTGTGAGAATCTCCATTGTGAAATGGTGAAGAACAGGTTGGAAAGTCAAGTATGCTAACCTAATGGTTCTTGGCATCACAAGTTTTCTGGTCCCTTGCAATCATAAGTGGCTCACAAATGCTTCCCAGCCTGTATCAACTTACACTAGCAATGAAACTCTAAGGTGGAGGATATACTGGGTGTTCATCCTTAGCACCCCTTCTCAAGCCTGTTGGAGACCAAGAGAAGGTATTGAGGATGACCCCAGAACAGACTCACAGACAAACTTCTGGGTCTGGAGTGTGCCTGTGGAATTAGCTACCTGGGGCATGTTCAACTCCTCCAGTACCTTGGAATATAGCTCCCATCATAGAAACAAGCATTTGTAGGGCTCGAAGAGAAAAGAGAGAAAGTGTATTGCATCTTGCCAGTGCTTAATGCCTGGGGTCTTTTCTGGATCCCGAAGATAACTCAGGTATGGGCCAAAGAGACTGCTTTTTCTGATTCACACTTAGTGTTCCACATTTTCAGTTTTTACCAATTTTCACTGCAAAATTCCCTGATTTTTTAAGTCATTCAGTTTTTACTGATTTACACCCGTTTTTCAGTTCAAATCCCTGTTAACTGGCACAAGTGGGGTATGGTTGGTAAGCTGGAAGTGGTGGTGCCAGTAGTTAAAAGTGCCACTGTGCCAGTTACCTGAGGCACAGGTTTCCGGCTGGAAGTATGTGTGGAGGGGCTGGCGGCCGTATGCCAGCAGCCTGGGCGGGGGGGGGGGGGGGTGGCTGGAGCCATTATATAAGAGCGCAGCGCTCCCGGCTCTGACCCAGGGTGGGGCAGGGCAGGATGGGCCATAGGAATTGCTCCTGGGGCGAGCTGCACCCCACAGTGGCTCTAGCTTTGGCCCTGCCCCAGGTGCTGGTAGCTATGAGCCCCTCAATTTTTCCCCCTCAAGTTAAACCTTTTTTTTTTTTTTCCCATTTCCTCCATTTATTCTGATTTTATCCTGGTTTTTATGTTTCGAAGATAAGCCTGAAAAATTCCTGGATTTTTGTTTTTTTAAAATAAAAATTGAGAATGCAGAACACTACTCATACTACTTTTACTGTTAGGCATTTCATTATAATCCGTTTAAGATCCTCTTTCATTTTTGGGATAAAGTACATGAAGTAGAACCCTGTTTCCCACTTTTATTTTGATTTTATCCTGGTTTTTATGTTTCGAAGATAAGCCTGAAAAATTCCTGGATTTTTGTTTTTTTAAAATAAAAATTGAGAATGCAGAACACTACTCATACTACTTTTACTGTTAGGCATTTCATTATAATCCGTTTAAGATCCTCTTTCATTTTTGGGATAAAGTACATGAAGTAGAACCCTGTTTCCCACACTCCTAAGATGCCTCATCTTTGTCTCCTAGATAAAAGTAGAGAAGTCACTTTAGAAGGTGACAGACTCATAAATGGGTCTTTGAGGAAAACTGGGGAAGGAGAAGCAATGAATGGAACTGTACCTAATTGACAATAGTGGACAATGACAGCAGGACAACGATAGCTAATGTTATCAGGTTGCAACAGCTATACAGACATGATGGAATGGAGCAGGCAGTTTTTGAAAATACTAGAGACTTCAGATCAGTTCTGGTGAGATGTCAGACACCTCCCATCAAATCTGCTGCCTCCAAATGGTCATTGACATGGTCCAAGATGGGGGTATCTTGGACTTCAGATGTTCCAAGACTGATTACTGTATCTCAAGATAATAACACCAAAGTTGGGAAACATCACCTATTTGTAGGAATCTACCAAATTTGCAATCACATGATATTTGCAGAAACCGCACATTTGGGCAGGCTCTACAAACAAACAAAAAAGCAGGCTCTATGATTTTGGCAGGCTCGCTTTAAAACAAAAACAAAAACCAAACTGAAAGCT